AGCGTTGACGTGTCCTTGAGCTTAGGCGCGCGGTCCGAAGTTGGGCGTGGGGCCTCATTTTCAGTGTTTCACCCTCCACAGGACATCATAGAGACGTAAAGAGAGGTTGGCTTCGGGAGACACGGTGATGCCACTTTCAACTTGCGACGTTGTAGGGTTTTCGCCAGGTAAGTTGGGTGAATTCCTCATGCACGAATCATGTCCGTTAGCGCGCGCTTTCGCAGCGCCGCAAAACTGAAGAAATGCTGATGTAAGTAATCTAAATAAGGTGAAGAGCAGACCTATATCCAACTGAAAAACAATCAACATGAATTAAGAATAGAAATCATGTCAAAGTGAAGAGCCATCAATGGAATTGACTTAGTTTTCTTTGTGGATCTCACTCTATGTGAGCTCAGTTTGCAGTAGCAGACAAACTTTAGCTGGACACTTCAACTATGAAGTGACGGCATTTTCGCCACTGGACTGGTCACGTAATAGCATGTCCTGCGGTTGCTGGTACACCAGCAGTGTCTAGTCTCACTTCTGTATCTACGCTTGTCTTCCGCGATCGTCGGTTAACGGAAGTTTGTCAGCCATAAGCACTGTACGTGGTTAATAGCTGAACTGATCTCTGATCCGGAGCCAGGTACAATTTGGGTCGTTGCTCCCTTCATATAGAACCATCCTGTCTCGCACTGACTTGTTTGTTGAAGGTTTTAGGCGAGGAGCACCATTTATTTGTCGGATTAGTTTGTTGTCTATATCATCTTCAATGTATGTATGCCTAGACGTATATGCTGCGTAAGATTATTAGGGTAAATCTACTGTTGGATGCTGATTAACGTTTCAGACTTACCAACGAACCACGCGCCTGTCAGTCAAGAAAGACGGTAGCGATCATGTGGTTGCGCTTATCGGGGTCCCATCAAGCTTGAAACGTTACGTTAGATCTTAGGGCCCATATGGTGTTAAATACCAGTGACGTTTGGAGGATTGGTGACCAAGATGAAGCTTTTTATCCATTCGGCACTGGTCACATGGCTGTGCGATTTGGTCCACAGCCTTCTAGACCCGGAACCACACACTCCGTCCCCTTTGCGCGCACATCAAATCAACATGGGTGAGCGCGCATGCTACACGTCGCGATGCTTAATTTTAAATCCGCAATTATATCACATGGCTGATTTGGTCCACAGCCTTCTAGACCCGGAACCACACACTCCGTCCCCTTTGCGCGCACATCAAATCAACATGGGTGAGCGCGCGCGCTACACGTCGCGATGCTTAATTTTAAATCCGCAATTATATATATATATATATATATATATATATATATAAACTAAACGAACTTTATGGTTGTACGGCAGTGAAGCATCAGTGCCAACACTGATGTTGCTGTCATTGATGATGATGATGAT